AAAATTCTTTTCATTGCCACTCACCTTTCTTTCTTTCTTTCTTTCTTTTTTTAATATATCAATATTTTATTGATTTTCCACAGAGAGGAAGGGAGAGGGATAGAGAGCTAGAAACGTCGATGAGAGAGAAACATCGACCAGCTGCCTCCTTCACACCCCCCACTGGGGATGTGCCCGCAACCAATGTACATGCCCTTGACTGGAATCGAACCCGGGACCCTTTAGTCCGCAGACCGACGTTCTACCACTGAGCCAAACCGGTTTCGGCTGCCACTCACCTTTCTATCTCAAAGCATGAAAACATGATTTTTATCTTTCATGTCCCACCCTCACCCTGCTCCTCCACACACACACACACACACACACACACACACACACACACACCCTTGCTCAGGCCTAGCCCAGAGGGGACAGGATGCCTCTGAGTCGCCTTATCCCAGGGAAGGTGGGTATGACTTGGAGGAGGATCATGAGATCATCTGGAGCCTTCTGTGCAGGACTCAGAGCTACAGACTGCCTGAGTACAGATGTCAGGACCTCGGGAGAAGAACTGTTCCCAGTGCTGATGTGAACGGTCAGGGGTTCCAGAAACTAGTGTAGTGGGATGCAATAAGCATTGCTTTACACCAGTGTTTCCCAAGCTTCTCTCCTGATGAGGATCACCTGGTGGAGCTGTTAAACTACAGATTCCTGAATCCCAGCTAAGAAGTGCTAAACTAGAATCTTTGGGAACATATAGGTAAAATTGTATACTTAATTTAGTGCTCTGTCTTAGAGGAACTGGTAAAAGAGACCAGAAAAGATTACCCGACACATTCTGTGCCAGCCAATAATGGCAGCTTCCTTCACAGGTGCGGAAACTGAAGTTTCTATACAGGATTCGAACCTGTGGCCTGCAATAGCCAAAGCCCTGTCTTTGCAACCCCGAAAGCCGGCCCAGGAAGCACAGCGTCTGCGCCCAGCCGGCAGCCAATAGCAATGCACAGCCAGAGGCCCCGACTCCACCCGAAAGTGAGTGCTACCCTGGAAGAGCGCGGGTCTGTTATCTCGCGGCGACCAATCAGAGGCCAGGGAAGGATTTAATCCGGCCCTCCCCCCACCCACCTCCGATTGGGCGGGACTAGATTTAAGATCATGGCGTTGGCGGCTTCCGGATAGGTAGAAGCTTTTGAGCCAGGGTGGGATGTGTCGGGGCAGCGCCATTCTCTTTGTCTGTGGTGGGGCCTGATCCACGCGTGGGCTCCAGAGACCTTTCATGTCCCCACATATAAAGTGGTTTCTTCCAAAATGCACGACCCCCTACCCCCGTGGTACCTCCGGAAGCAGACTGTACCACATCCACAGCGATAGGGTGTGTCCTGGGGCTGCCCTGTGTCATTAACGCTTCATTCCCACCCCCCATGTCAATGCCCAGGAATGGTTCAATCTTTGGTTCACCCCAACACAACGGAATAGGCTCTCTCATGTCTTCCCCACCCACGTCTCATCCCTGTCTCCCTTCTAGCATGTCTCCCAGTGGACCCTCCCATCCTTTATCCTGATGGTCACTGAGAGCCTGGTGAAGGGGTCCCACCCCTTGCTGCAGAGCCGTGGGCCACGCATAGGCATTCACCCCCCCCCCTCCCCCCCAATACCGCTCGCTGATAGAAGTGGGAATTGGTGTGGCAGCATCAGAATAAAAAAAATGGCACCTCTCCCCACTAGAATGTCAATGCCACCTGGGAGGGCGTGGATTCCCAGTCCCCCCATGTCTCCTCAGCCCCCAGAACAGCCCTGCACACAACAGTTGCTGAAAAGGGGCTTTGTTGCACAAATGACTCCTTTGAACGGACAATTCCACTTGTAAAATATGTGTCCTGAGGAAACACACATGAACAGGTCTGTGTGCACAGCATGGGAGGAGGAAACATGTCAATGAAAATAGGTGATTCATGTTATGCCATGGAGTACTGGCTGACAGAATGAGGCGCTACCACAGGAACATACCCCAGGTGGCTCAGGGGTGCCACATCATTGGACACACTGCACAGAGAGCTTGGACACGGTGACCAGAGACCACAAAACAGCCCAGGGACCTCACACTCCGGCCACAGGCTGGCCGAAAGCTCCTGAGCTCACACAGTGAGATGTAGGTAGCCTGTTATCTTACAGATCTCATCCTCTGGCACAGACTCCTACAGACATCTCAGACTCTCACACCTTGGAACCCCAATACACCTCAGGGACCTCCCACACCCGGACACAGACTCCAAACAGCTCACACTCTGCACACCATTGACGCAGAGCCCAAAACAGCCCAGAGACCTCACCACCAGAGATGTACATTAAAAATCTTGCCAAAGACTTCAGACTTTTAAAAAATATTTTTATTGATTTTTTTAACAGAGAAAAAGGGAGAGGGAGAGTTAGAAGCATCGATGAGTGTCCCACATCCCCAAACAGACTGTCCCAGCCACAGTCACTGTAGGTCTGGCAGAGAAGGAAAGCCACAGCAGCAGTAAGTGTACCACCAATGGGAGTAACCCTTCCAGGACCTTGTGAAACGCCTAAATAAAAAGTGAACCCCTTCTCCTCCCCAACCAGAATGTCAGCTTCACGTGGGCAGGAACATTTGTCCATCTTGTTCTCTGATGTCTCCCCAGCACCTAGAACAAGACTCGGTACACAGTGTTTGTTGAATGAGTGAACCCTTTGATGCAGAAATTCCGTTTCTAACACACACACACACACACACACACACACACACACACGCCCAGAGCTGTGTGCGCAAGGCTGGTAGGCACAGGCGGCTGGGACAACCTTGTAATCGGCTATTTGTGGCCAATGGCTGCTGAAGAGTAAGATGATGGTGGGAGTTCGTGTTATACCACAGAGCACCAGCCACATGTGATCAGAACTGGGACCTGTGTTTACCTGTGAGGGTGGTGGTGCCTGCCATAGGACATGCTGTTGACAAGCAAAAGCTACTGGGAGCTGGTTATGGTGACTGTGTGTGTGGAAACACTAGAAACTAATCCCAGTGGTCATTTTTGCAGGGTGAAGCTGGGAATGACTTGTGTAGTCCATATATTGATGTAATGTTGGACCCTTTTAAACAAAACTAGGTTCACATTTTATTTCTATAGCTTTTTAAAAATATTAAATATATATATTTACTTATTTCAGAAAGGAAGGGAGAGGGATAGAGAGATAGAAACATTAATGATGAGAATCATTGGTCGGCTGCCTCCTGCACGCCCCACACTGGGGATTGAGCCCGCAACCTGGTTATGTACCCGGACTAGGAGTTGAACCATGAACTCCTGGTTCATAGGTTGACACTCAATCACTGAGCCATGCCGGTGGGGCTGTATAAGTATAAACGAAAAGCATATACTCAAAACAATATCCAGAGCCCAGAGTGTGTACGGGGTAGGTAACTAGGGTATGTCAAACTCACATGCCCCAGGCTGGGCAGGTGACCCACAAGAGAGAAGGAGGCTAGCTCAGGGTAAGGCCAATGTAATAGGGTTGATGAATGTTCCCTGCCTTTTAGCGCTGGAGGGTGAGGGTAGAGTGAGGGATGGTTGGGGATGAAGAAGACGCCAGAGCTCACACCCTAAGAATTCAGGAACATTGCACCCTGAGGCACAAAACATTTACTAGTTTGGGGAGCCAGTAAACAGACCCATAAGTCATAGTGGTCACACCCTAACTCAGCTCCTAGCTTCATGCCCTGGACACAGACTTAAACAGATAAAAGATCTCACACTATGCAAACATACCATTAAAGAGATCAGAGGCCTCACGCCCTAGAATAATGCCCCCCTCTACTTCAAGATAGGTGGCTTTTCTGTATTACAAAGCAATCCTTACACATGTACACCTGTTCTTCACAAACTGAATGTTTGCAACCCCTCAAATCCCTATGTTGAAGCCTTAACCCCCAGTGTGATGGTACCGTTTCCCCAAAAATAAGACAGTGTCTTATATTAATTTTTGCTCCCAAAGATGCACTAGGTCTTATTTTCAGGGGATGTCTTATTTTTCCATAAAGAAGAATACGGTACACACTTATTGTTAAATGAAAGGAAATTTATTACCTGTATACAGTACGGTAGTACGGTAGTTGTCAACACAAACCAGACAAACTGTGAATTCTACAGTATCAAGAATTTACTCATTTATTCAATGACAATCATGTCATCATCTTGAGGAACATCATCATAACAACCCAATTCCTGAGTTTCCTGGTGAATTTCTTTTTCTTTTTTCTTTTTTTAAAAATATATATTTTATTGATTTTGTACAGATAGGAAGGGAGAGAGAGAGTTAGAAACATCGATGAGAGAGAGTCATCAATCAGCTGCCTCTTGCACACCCCCTACTGGGGATATGCCCGCAACCAAGGTACATGCCCTTGACCAAAATCGAACCCGGGACCCGTCAGTCCCCAAGCAGACGCTCTATCCATTGAGCCAAACCGGTTTTGGCTCCTGGTGAATTTCTTGTGACTCCATTTCTTTCAGAATCAGTGGACCAAATCTCTCATGTTTAGCCTCGGGAGGCCTTATTTTGGGGGGATACCTTATTTTTCACTCAGAAGGAAACCTGTAAGTAGGTCTTATTTTCGGGGAAACACGGTATTAGACTGTGGGGCCTTTGGGAGGTGATTAGATGAAGTGATGAGGGTGGGGTCCTCATGATGGGATTAGTGCCCTGATAAGAAGAGACCAGAAAACTTGCTCTTTCTCTCGTCATGTGAGGACATGGCAAGAAGGTGGCCATCTACAAACCAGGTAGAGAGCCAACACCAGACACTGACCATACTGACAACCTGGTCTTGGACTTCAGGCCTCCAAAATTGTAAGAAAATAGATTGTTTTTTAAGCCAGCCAGACCATAGTACTTGGTAATGTTGGCCTGATCAAGGACACACCTTAAGCTTTTGCTTTCAAGATCCTGAGCTTTATGTCAGAGTCCTTGTACTTGCACCGCCTACCTCTCTCACCACTAGCAGTCCTCAGCCTGTGGCCCTCCCCTTCCTGCCCCTTGATCTCCAGGCGCTGAGCCAGAGGGTTGTCTGGAGGTCCCTGGGCAAGGACACTTAGCCTGCCATGCTGTGCCGCCTGCCCTCCAGGCTGCCAGCCAGGATGTGGGGCAGGACTTCGGAGAAGCAGGTGAATGGGACGGTCCTTGGGGTCCTAGGGCACAGGTGTTGTCACCAAGGTTGGGGACCTTCCAGGCCAGACCTGGTAACCTGCTTCCCTTCCATGTGGTCTATCCTGGTGTGGGGGCACACTTTCCCCTCTTCCTCTCTCTCTCTTCCTCTTTCAAAGGCAAGCAGATGGCAGCAGAGGGACACGGAAGGTCCTGCTCTGACACATGGTCAGTGATCCACATGTGTGCAGGAATGGGCTAGGGGCCAGCTGCAGAGCAGCTCCCTTGGGGTGGCTCAGGGGAGCTAGTTCAGCGAGGACATTAGGATGGGCCAGTGTAGGGAGGGGCCAGGAAACCCCACTGACCTTGAAGTCTGCCATAAGAATTCCAGGGGCCTCTGACACCTGGAAGAGGACTTTGTAGAAAGCCTTTCCTGTGAAGGAGGCAGGGGGGAGGGCATCATGGTCTGAGCACTCTATTATCCATGTAGAGTTATTGTGAGGAATAAAAAAATGTATTTTATGGAGTGCTTAGAACAGGCACATTAAGCCTTTTCTGATTGCTATTTCCTGATGACCTGGCCCTTGCCTTTCCCTCCTGCTTATGCCTCATTCACCCTTGGCTTCTAAGCCACAGTGGCCTTCCTCCTGTTCCTTAAGGGGGTCAGCCAGCTCATCCTTGAATTTATGAAGATAGAGTTTCCCATTTGCAAACCAAGATCTGGGGACTGACTCTACCCTGGCAGGGCATTAAAAAACGGGAGGGTCCCTGGCAGGTGCTCAGCTGGTTAGAGAGTCGTCCAGATATGCAAGGTTGTGGGTTTGATTTCCAGTCTGGGCACATACAAGAATCAACCAATGAATGCATAAGTAAGTGGAACAACAAATCGATCTCTCTCTCCCCTCCTTCCTCTCTCTCTAAAATCAATCAATAAAAGTTTGTTTAAAACAGAGGCAGTAAAAAAGAAAGAAAGAAAAATAAGAGGAATAGGTTGAGTAGATTTCCAAAGACTATCAAAACTGGGAATGTGCCCTGGCCAGTGTGGCTCAGGAGACTGACCGTCATCCTGTGCACTGAAAAGCAACGGGTTCAATTCCCAGTCGGGGTACATACCCATGGTCAGAGTGTGCATGCTCGGGTGAGTATGGGAGGCAACCTATCAATGTTTCTCTCTCACATTGGTGTTTCTTTCTCTCCCTCTCCCTTCTCTTTCTTAAAAAAAAAAAAAAAAAAAAAAAAAAGTCAGTAAATTTTTCCCCCAAAAAAAATTGGGGATGCGGCTAAGCAGTGCTTAAGGAAAGCTTTAAATGTATAGATAAAAAAAAAAAGAAAGAAAGAAAGAAAGAAAAAAAGAAAGAAAAATGTACCTAAAATGGTTATAAGAAAATGAATGAATAAATAAATAAATAAATAAATAAATAAATGTATAGATCAGAAAAGTTGGATCTTTGAATAGTTAACAAAATGTTAGTAATTTCTGTTTTCTCTCAAGCAATTAAGAGGAAAAAATATGAATTACCAATATCAGGAATGAAAAGAGAGTATTATTACAGATACTACAGATGCTAAAAGGTAAATAAGAGCTCTGGCTTGTGTTGCTCAGTGGTTGGAGTATCAGCACATGCACCGAAGGCTCGCAGGTTCAACTCCTGGTCAAGGACACATATGTGGGTTCAGGTTCAATCCCCAGCCTTGGTCGAGGCACACTAAGGAGACAACCAATCAACGTGTCTCTCTCACATCAATTTTTCTCTCTCTTTCCCTCTCCTTCCCTCCCTCCTTTCCACTCTAAATATCAATGGGAAAAATATCATCAGGTAGGATTGACAACATGTTAGTCATTTTACTTGCTTCTGTGTCGCTGTGTATCCTTGACATTCTGTATCCTTGAAAACAGCAGAACTTGGCAACTTTCTTGATGGCTCCTCCACTCATGAAAATAGAACACACAGTATTTTTTAAAGCTGGGCTCAGTGAAATCACTTGTTTAAAAATGTCAGAATTTGAATGGAATTGAACATTGTGGAATGGAACAGAATAAAATAACACATGTGGAATGGAATGAAATGGGAAGGAGAAAAGGGAAAGGAAGGAAAGGGAAGTCAGACTTTGTACTAGGCACTGGGCCTAATTGTTGTAGTTATCCACTAACTGAATACTATTGAACATCTGCTAGTTGTTTGAGACACAGTGAGGAACAAAACAGAGGAAAATCCCTATCCTTATGAAGCTTATATTCTAACTAGGGGCTCAGTGCATGACATTCGTGCACTGGGGGGAGGGGGTCCCTCAGCCCCGCCTGCACCCTCTTGCAGTCAGGGAACCCTCAGGGGATGTCTGACAAGGGGTCCTTAGTGCTGCCCCAGAGAGTCTCCTGCCACCACCACTGTGCTCACAGCCATGAGCCCAGCTTCTGGCTGAGAGGCGCTCCCCCTGTGAGAGTGCAGTGACCACCAGGGGGCAGTTCCTCCACTGAGCACATGCCCCCTGGTGGTCAGTGTGCATCATAGCGACCAGTTGTTCCACCATTAGGTCTACCTGGTATTTGCATATTAGGCTTTTATTATGTAGATCAAGAAGACAGATATTATCATGGGCAAAATGTCCTGAAACCAAAGGTACAAGGACGGCCCTTATGAGGAACAGGCTAAAGGGCAGTGTGGCTTGGGGTTCAAGAACAATATATGAGGCTTATGGAGATTGGAGGACATTAACTCTATTGGCACTTGCTGCCTGCAGGAATTGTTCTAAGCCCTTAAATATACAACTCTTCTTTAAAATGTTTACAACAGTCTTTTAAGATATGTATAAAACCATGCCCATTTTACAGAAGGGGAAACTAAGGCATAGAGAGATTAATTAAATGTCTGGCTCTAGAGTCTATTCTTTTAACCACTATGCTCTGCTACCTATGGCGCCAGACCGCAGGCACCTTCCAATCCTGTAGCAGATGTAAGGTAAATATACAAATTACTGAAGAATGCAAATCAAGAAAAAGATCTGGTGGGAGATGTGCAGAGGACAGGAAGTTGGGGGAAGGAGGTATGCCCTCCTACTGGGTGTCAAGGTAGATTTATAAATACACCTCTGCCAGAAACATTTATTTTATCTGAAATGTTCCCTTATTTTGTCCTTGATGATCATAGCTGTGGAGTATGGAAAGATGGCAGGGTGTGTGTGTGTGTGTGTGTGTGTGTGTGTGTGCGTGTGTGTGTGTGTGTGTGAAACTGACCAATGGAGTGCTTGTGCTCATAACATTGGGCCGCCTCTGGGTCTTGTCATTTCTTGAAAAAGAGATGAATTCCAGTTTGGGGAAAGCAAGAGAGGGTTTGATCTTGGTCTCCACTCCCCTCATCTTTACCTCTCTCCCTCTGGAAGAAAAAAGAGAATAAAGCAGTGGAGAGTAGTCATGGCAGATACATGGGCTCTTGTGAAGCCACACATGGGCAATAAGACTACTAAAGTTTCCTCTCAGGACTTTCCCCTTGAAATAGGGGTGAGGAGGAAGTATAATCATTGGGGAGGTGAGTGGAGGTGAGTGGACAAAGAAATAGGAACTGGGTGTGACCAGCATCAATATGATCTCTTCTGATTTTTTTTAGTCATGGAGGCACAGCAATCAGACCCCTTCCCCATGTCTTATCCATAGACTTGACCACATCGTGATGACAGTAAAGAGTATCAAAGACACCACCACGTTTTATTCCAAAATTCTGGGCATGGAGATCATAACATTCAAGGTAATTATTATTTTTTAAAATATATTTTTATTGATTTCAGAGAAGAAGGGAGAGGGAAAGAGAGAGAGAGAAAAATATCAATGATAGAATCATCGATTGGCTGCCTCCTGCATGTCCCCTACTGGGGATTGAGCCTGCAACCTGGGCATGTGCCCCTGCCTGAATTCAAACCCGGGATCCTTTAGTCCACAGACCAGCGTTCTATCCGCTGAACCAAATCAGTTAGGACTCAAGGTAATTATTTACACAAATGCCAAATTTTAGGTGGAGTAAGAGTTGATGATAATACTTTAAAAATTAACTTTAAAAAACTCACAACAAATCTGTGAGGAAAATTTAAAGGATAAGTGAAGGAGATTCCAAATTCTGAATAGAGGAACTTCCATGGAGAATGAAGAGATGGAGGGGAGAAAATTACCATAGAAATAATTCAAGAGAATTTCCAGTCCTTGCATGGAAAGGGTTAACTGAATATCCAGTACATTGATACTTAGATGTGCTTATGAAATTATAGAACATCAAAGTGAAAATGAAAATCCTAGGAAATTTCAGAGAGGTTAAAAAGAAAAGCAGTTCAACTGCAAAGGAAAAAGAAATATGCAGATGTCAGATTTCCTAAAATTCGCATCAGAGACTAGAAGACAATACAAGATTTTTAGAGAAAATTTTCAACCTAGAATTCTATGTTTAACTAAACTATTAATCAAGATGAGGGTAGAATAAATCATTCTTAGACATAAAAGAACTTGGAAATTTTGCCCACTTACTTTGAAAATTGAAATTATGCTACATCAAAATGAGTGATTAAGCCAGGAGTAAGAAAGATATCAAAGCCAGGATACAGTGCATTCCAAAGAGAAAATTCCAGATGTGAAGAAAGCACGGGACTTGGTTGGAAAGTCTGCTAGGAGGATTCTCTGAAAGGTCAGAGGCCTCTAGGCACAGATCCTGCTTTGACTTTTCCAAACAACTCTGAGCCCCCGGGTATTTTACTGGAATGTTTAGACTTCAAAACATCCTTGCCTAAAGAACACTACAGACGCATGTGTATTCTCAAGGATGCTTGCCCTGCTGATAGTATCTAGAGCAGTGGTTCTCAACCTTTCTAATGCTGCAAGCCTTTAATGGTCTTAGGCTCTATGGCAGTGGTTCTCAACCTGTGGGCTAGCAGGGTCGCCTAAGACAATGGGAAAACACAGATATTTACATTATGATTCATAACAGTAGAAAAATTACAGTTATGAAGTAGCAACAAAAATAATTTTATTGTTGGGGGTCACCACAACATGAAGAACTGTATTAAATGGTCACAGCATTAGAAAGGTTGAGAACCACTGATCTAGAGGTTAATTTTAGTTCAAGCTATTGCTCCAATAAAAGCCTAAGGAGGCAGGGGACTAGGACTGTCTGGTTCCTTTAGCCAGGCAGTCCCTTAGTCCTCTCTTTCACAGAAACGTGTCAGAGTAATCATTAATCCATTGCTCAGGGTCTGCTGGTCAGCCCCATCACCCATAAAGATACCTAGAAAATAATCAGTCCAATCTGAAACAGGAGAAAGTTCCCAAGAAAGAGAGCTCCCAGGAAAACAGGAGGATTCCAGAGGTTGAATACTTGAGCATTCTAAATAATTGCAAAAGTGGTAAATGCAGAGAAAGCAAAAAATATTATCTCTTAAATTGAAAGAGCCCATATAATGGCAAAAAGAATAAAACATTCAAACTTAACATGAAATACAATACTATGCATCAAAATAGAATTATGCAAAACAGACTATCAAGATGGACAGTTCTAAAACAGGATCAGGTCTACAGCATGGTACCACTTATATGCACATAGAACAATAATACAGCTTTAACAATAATTAAAACCAAACATCAAACACATTATAATGGTTGACTAAGAGAATGGAGATAAAAAAAATTAAGTGCATAAAGAAAACTACAGAGGGGCCTTGTGTGGGCCAATAGTAATAATGAAGCATATGATGCCTCAACTTTCTATACATGGACACAGAGGAATACAATTTCTAGGATACATCTAGGATCAAACCAAGTCCTAAAAGCTGCAAGAGTGTAGGGTGGATGTATCATCTACAAAAGAATGAAAAACAGATTAATATCAGACTTCTTATTAGCAATACCAGATTCAGGAAGAAAACAAAGCCACCTATTTAAGAGGCTATTGGAAAATAACTTGCAACCTTGAATTCTATACTCAACCAGACTATCATTCAAATGTAAAAGTGAAATAAAGTCATTTTCTGATAGAGTAGATATGGTATCAATCATCCTATATAATAAAAGGGTAATATGGAAATCGAACGAATAGCGGAAAGACTCGTCACTATGATACTCACTGACCACCAGGGGGCAGATGCTCAATGCAGGAGCTGCCCCCTGGTGGTCAGTATACTTCCACACAGAAGCCAGGCTGAGGGCTGGTGAGCGCAGCAGCAGTGGCAGGAGCCTCTCCCACCTCCACAGCAGCGCTAAGGATGTCCGACTGCTAGCTTAGACCCCGCGGCAGACCTAAACTGTCAGTTGGACATTCCCCAAGGGCTTCTGGACATCAAAAAGGTGCAGGCCAGGCCGAGGGATCCTCCTGCCGCAAGTGCACAAATGTCATGCACCGGAGCCTCTAGTGGTGATATAAAATAAAATAAAAAATAAAAACACATTAAAATGATATAAGAAATGGGAGAGGTTGCCCTGGTTGGTATTGCTCAGTGATTACAGTGTCAGTCCATGCACCGAAGGGTCACAGGTTTGATTCCTGGTCCAGGGCATGTACCTGGGTTGCAGGTTCAATCCCTTGCCCCAGTTGTGGCACATGTAGAAAGCCACCAATTGATGTCTCTCTCACATTGATGTTTCTTTTTCTCCTCTTCCCTTCCTCCCTTCTACTTTCTATAAAAATCAATGGAAAAAATATCCTCAGGTGAGGATTAACAAAAACAAAAGAAAAAAGAATGACAGAGGTTGAAAGGCACAGGAGAGGGAGGAGACATGAAGAAAAGAATATTAGGCTCAATGGGATACTAGCTGTAGTTCATCTATCAAAACACACAGGTACAAATGGGTTATTTAAAAATTATCAAGGAACCAACCGTCAAACCTGAGGGAAGGCAGGGAAGGGTGGGAGAGGGGCTAAGTGATCAACCAAAGGACTTGTATGAATGCAGATACGCATAACCAATGGACACAGACAGTAAGGGGACAAGGGCATGTGCTGGGGAGCAGGAGCGCTGGGGAGAGGTCAATGGGGGAAAGGAGACATATATAATACTTTCTTTTTAAAAAAATATATTTTATTGATTTTGTACAGAGAGGAAGGGAGAGAGACAGTTAGAAACATCAATGAGAGAGAGTCACCAATCAGCTGCCTCCCGCACCCCCCCCACTGGATATATGCCCACAACCAAGATACATGCCCTTGACCGTAATCGAACCCGGGACCCTTCAGTCCCCAAGCCGACGCTCTATCCATTGAGCCAAACCGGCTTCAGCATCATATATAATACTTTCAACAATAAATAACTTAAATTTAAAAAATAAAAAATAAATTATCAAGGAAACAAAATTATAGAATTCTACTGGGAGGGGTAGAAATGTGGATGAGCTAAATTCTCACGTATCACAGGGAGAGGACAGAGATGTCTAAAGTTGTTAAATCAAGAAATAGGGACACATCAGTTAGGGACTGTGTCTAGAGGCACATAGGAGAAAACCCAACTAGCAGTGGGTAAAGAAGGCAGAATTTTCTTTTTCTCTCATTTAACAACCACTGGACAGGCAGGGCTTGGGCAGGGCTTGGGCCTTGGCTGGGAAGGAGGAGGAAGTGAATGGGCAAAAAGTCCCAGCTCTCTGAGGCTGGGAGGTGCCCAGAAGCCCCACATACAACCTCTGCTGATCTAATTTGGGTTGTGTTTATAAGAAAAAAGGGAAAATTTATATTAAGTTGACAAACCGCTGTTTCTGTGATGGATAGTATAAACACATTTGGAGATAAGGAAATAATTTCCAGAAGAAATAAACACCCACATACACACGTTAAAAGCCTGGATTTGAGGAAACCTCATGCCTGAAGTTTGAGTAAGACCTCCCTGGGTCCTGCTTCTGTTTTCACTGTAGGGAATGAGACTGGGGTGGGGCACAGGGTTATTGTTGTTTTCATTAAATAGCCCTTTTCTACATTTAAAAAATATATTTATTGATTTCAGAGAAGAAAAGAGAGAGAGAGAGAGAGAGAGAGAGAGAGAGAGAGAGAGAGAGAGAGAGAGAGAAACATTAATAATGAGAGAAAATCATCAGTTAACACTAGGAATCGAACTGTGACCCCCTAATTCATAGATAGATGCTCAACCACTGAGCCATGCCAGCTGGGCCCTGTTCTTTATTTTTTAAACGTGTTGGGGTAGGTAACAGGGCTTTGTCTCACTCACTCACCTTGGTGGTGTAACTCTAGGTTGTTTTCTCTCCCCCGAAAGGGAGACAGGAAAGCACTGTGCTTTGGAGACCAGAAATTTAACCTTCACGAAGTGGGAAAAGAATTTGAACCCAAAGCTGCTCACCCAGTTCCTGGCTCTCTGGACATATGTCTGATCACAGAGGTACCTTTGAGTGAAATGGTCCAGCACCTCAAGGTGAGTCGGACTTCCATTCTTTTCGAGAAAGCTGCTGCACATGCGCTGAGAACAGAAGCATGACCCAGCGAGGTCCTTCCTCAAACTTCAGGCAGAACATGTTTCCTTGGATCCAGATAATGCCTGCACACAATTGTTCACTCATTATTTTTACTGACATCTTTTTTTCCACATAAACAAATGCATTTTAAAAGAAAACATTACCCTTGTAAAAAAATTATACCTAAATTATCTTTCTATAAATACATTTATGTAAAAAGAAAATGTTCAACCAAATCAATGAAAAACTCATTATATCTTGGCACAAAAGGAACTGTAAAAACAAATAGTTATGAAAGCATCACAATGTCATTCCATTCTATCTATTTCCATACCCTGACATTCCAAATGGAGATTTCGCAAGTGGCTGAGGAGTTGCTAAGGACTTGTTAGTATCCAGCGGAGTCTTTCTTCTTGCTAGAATCAAAAGGACTGAAGAAAGAATTATTTGTAACTTGCTATTATTTAATGTTGGTGTTCCTGTACCACTTACAATTATTTCATGTAAAGGGGGCATTGGTTCTCCTGTTGGGAAAACAGATCAAGGTCTTAAATGTATTCTGTGCAAATATACTGGACTCCTTTTTTGGAAAATATCAGTGAAATAGTTTTGTTTGAAAGTAAAGTAGAGAAAGCGTAGGGGAAAGAGTATGAACTTTGGCCTAGACTGCCTGGATTTAAATTCTGACTGTACCACTTACTAAATAATACTAGACATTATTTATCATCATCCCCATTTCACGGACGAGGAAACAGGTACAAAGCATTTATCTGCTGAAGGCCAGAGAGCTGGAATGTGGCTGGAGCAGAGGGAGGGAGAGGAGAATGGTAGATGAGTCAGAAAGATACAGGGGTCTTCTAGGCCACTATAAAGAATTAATTAAGTTTTGGTCTCACACATGGAATGGAATGAATGACTTTTTGTCTTTTCTTCCTACTTCAGGCTTGTGATGTCCCTATTGAGGAGGGTCCAGTCCCCAGAACGGGGGCAAAAGGGCCCATTATGTCCATCTACTTCCGAGACCCTGACGGAAACCTGATTGAGGTGTCCAACTATATTTCCCCATGACTGAAGCTCGCCCTCCGCCACTTTGTTCCCTGAAGTGCTGCCCATTTTCTTCCCCAAGACCCTCACCGGACCCAGAGGCCTCCAAGAACTGATGACAGGCGCTTCACACATCCTGCTGGGGGGACCCGAGATGGGTTTGGGACCAAACCTACATGACTCCATGTTCTCCTGCCAAGCTGCCCCAATAAATTAATAACCTCTCAATTAATATAAGCTCTTTGTTATTATGGTCTCGGCCTTACATACGGGTGTTTGTCTAGCGCATGACATCTCTGACAATCAAATCCAGGGTCAGGCCCTTGGGGTTCAAGGTCTCCGACAGATTTCTCCTTGCCCGTGAACCCAACTTTTTTTATCCTATTAGACTCATCTCACTCCTTCCAGGTGATGCCTGATGTTTCCACCTCAGAAGCCTCACTGAACCCCAAGATCTCTATGATGGGACCTTCAAGGAGCATCCCAGATACTACCGCCTCTTGGTGTGCCTTATCTGATCTCACCCCCAGGGGATGTGAAACTTTCTATCTTTGGATCTAGCAAGTCCGAACTCACCTCAGTTGAGGCTCAGCTCCTGGCATGTACTGAGCACCTCTGTGCTTGGCCCTGTTCCAGGCTTGGAGAGACAGCACTGAACAGCAGAGGTAAGCAAACCTTTGTTTGTAGAGCTTCCATTCTAGTGGGAGAAAGACAAAATAAATAAAATTAAGCAAGGAAAATACTAAGTATGCTATAGGATGATAAATACCTTGGAGGGAAAGAAAACATGAAAAGGGGACCTCAGATAAACATCACTGTGGCAGTTTCCAATGGGGAATCTCACTAAGAAGGAGACATTTGAGCACAGCCCGCAGAGATGGGGGGAAGCTGCATGATGGCTGGAAGAAGAGCATGCCAGGCAGAGAAGAGAGCCAGTGCAAAGGCCCTAAAGCATGACGGTGTCCGGTGTGTGTGAGGGTAACAGGAGGAGACTAGTGAGGAGGAAGAGGGAGCCACGAGTGACAGACTGGATGAGTTCCCCAAGAGAGAAAATGTCAACTAGAGAAGAGGTCTAGAGACATTTAGAGTTCAGAACCAAGGGGAAGAACCAGCACATGAGGTAGGCATAGACCAGTGTTTCCCAAAGTGTGGTATGCGTACCCCCAGGGGTACGGGAAGAGTTTGGTGGGGGTACGCATTGCACCGGAGTTTGGGGGGGATATGCACTGCACCGTGTTTAGCTGCGCCTAATTCTATGTTCTCATTAGTACGAGGGGTATTCAGCGTTACGAAAATTATAGAAGGGGTACACATATGTAAAAAGTTTGGGAAACAATGGCATAGAGGGAAGGGAAGAGTATGGCTTCTTGAATGAATGAGTGATGGATGAAGGAGCATGTATGAGAGTCTGTTTGAGGTGAGGGAGCTCCTAGTCTTGTGGACTCTGGTCTCTAAACAGTCCCCACCCTCAGGGAGCCCCAAAAATGCTAGGAAGAGAGGATGTGTAAGGATGTGTGCTTCTGCACATGAAAGGCTTTGCCAAAAGCTGTAGCAGGTTTCCTGCCTATTTTTAAAAGACAGCGTACTTTGAATCCAGATGTTATATGCCTGGAGATAGATGATTTATGGAAGGAAGGAAGGAAAGAAGGAAGAAAGGAAGGGACTGCTGGGGCGGAGCTTGAAGATGGCGACCGAACAGATGGACTTGTTCTGACTCCGGTCCCAGAACAGGAAGAAAGGAACGAAGGAAGGAAGGGAGGAAGGACGGAAGGAAGGGAGATGGGAAGGAAGGAGGGAGGGAGGGAGGAAGGGAGGGAAGGAAGGGAAAAAGGAGGGAGGGAAAGAAGGAAGGGGTGGGCAGCAGATGGTGGATGAATGAATGTTTAGCTGGGTGGGTGGGTAGATGATGGATAAATGGACTGATATTCCCCGTCCCCGGAGAAACACTTTCATATGTTTGTGCTTAGAAAGAGAATATATTTTGTAAATTCCAGATTTGCTGTAATAGGGAAAAAATTAGAAACAATCCAAATGTCCATCAGCAGATGAATTGTTAAACAAACCATGGTATATCCAGTCCATGAACTACTCAGTAATAAAAGGGAATAGTCTCATGAGGCCAGCACTGACCTGATATTAAAACCAAAGCCATAACAAGATAGCAAAACTACAGACCAATATCTCATGAATATAAATGCAAAAATCTATACTAATAAAAGAGAAATATTTAAATTGACCATCACTTCACAATCCCCACCAGCCAATCTAGAATGAGTATGCAAATTAACCTCATCACCTCCATAGAGACTGACAGCAGGGAGGAGGTAGCTCACAGCATGGCCTGCTTGCCCATTGCCACAGTGACCCAGGAGCAGGCAAGCATGGCCCACAGGCAGCTCCCAGCATGGCCTGCTTGGCCATCACCACAGAGACTGGGGATCAGGCAAATGCGGCCTGCAGGCAGCATCCAGCACGGCCTGCTTGGCAGTCACCATGGTGTGCAGCAGGCAGGCTCCAGAGAGAGCAGAGAACCACAGGGAGTGGGCCTAAGCCATCAGTAGCACATCCCCTGAGGGTTCCCAGATTGGAGAGGGTGCAGGTCAGGGTGAGGGACAGGCCCCCCCCCCATGCACAAATTTCATGCACTGGGCCTCTAGTCTTCAATAAAATACTAGTAAATAGAATTCAGTAACATATAAAAGGTTTATACAACATAACCAGGAATGCAAGATTGGTTCAACATATAAAAATCAATCAAGATAAATATACCAGATTAATAGAACAAGGTACAAAAACTACATAATCTTAATAGATGCAGAAAAATTTTTTAAAATAAAATTCAACACCCTTCATGATAAAAACACTCAACAAACTAGGAATATAAGGTAACTTCCTCTCCCTGATAAAGGGCATCAACGAAAAGCCTAGAGCTAACCTCATGCTTACTGGTGAAAGACAGAGAGCTTTCTCCCAGAGAGCAGGAACAAACCCAGGATGCTTCCTCTCACCACTTCTATTCAACGTTGTACTGGAGGTTCTAGTCAAGGCAATTAGGTAAGAAAAATAGAAAAGTCATTTATATTGGAAAAAAGAAGTAAAACTAACTCTATTTGCAGATGATATTTTGGACACAGGAAATCTTAAGGAGCCTACAACAAAACCATTATATATACCATATGCATATACACGTACATGCACATACATACTGTATATATACATATGAACTCAGCCAGGCTACCGAGTTCACACAAAACTTAATCATATTTCTATACATTAGCAATGAATCCAAAAGTGAAATTGAGAAAACAATTCCATTTACAATAGCATCAAAAACAATAAAACAATTAGTAATAAATTTAACAGAAGGTGGGCAAGAGTTATACACTGAAAGCTACAAAACATTGCTGAAAGAAATTAAAGGAGACCTAACTAAATGGAAAGACATCACATGTTTACAGATAAACGAGTTTATATAATAAAAAGCAGGATAATATCGAGTGTTGGAAAGGATGTGGATAAATGGGAGCCCTCCTACAGCTTCGGTGGAGAACACTTTTGTAGTTCCTCAGAAAGCTAAACAGAATTACCTGCCATTCTGTTCCTCATATTGTATGATTCCATTTATACGAAATGTCCAGAACAGGCAAATCCATGACAGAAATTAGATTAGTATTGCCAGGGACTTGGGGGAAGCAGAAATGGAATGGGAAATAACTGCTAATGGGCACAGGGCTTCTTTTGGGGGTGATGAAAGTGTTCTAGACTTGATAGTGTTGATAATTGCACAACTCTGTGAATAGACTAATCACTGATATATATATATATATATATATATATATATATATATATATATATATATATCTTAAAAGGGTGAATTTTATGGCATATGAATTACATCTTAATAAAAAAGAATGGACTATGGACACACACAACAATCTGGATGAACGTCACAGCCATTATGCTGAGCAAAAGCAGCACATAGTGTATAATTCCATTTATAGGAAGTTCAAAAACAAGCCCCTAAGCCCCAGGATCGTATATTGTTTACACATATGTACTAACGGAATAAAAAGCTTCATGAGGAAGAGAAAGATCGAACTTGAGGCAGTGTAAGGAGAAAGGGAGACGGAATTGGTGCAAGGACTTCAATTGTATCTGTGATATTGCTTCTTTTTAAAAGTGTCTGAATTAATGAGGTGGGGTTCTGTCCCCATCCTGGCGGACTCCACAGTCTACAAGAGGCATGACAAGTCCCAATACCCTGGGCTGGCATCAAGCTCTAGAACCCTGAGAGATGCCAGGAGGGAAGGAGCCAGCCAGGGAAGACTTCAAGGAGGATAGGACGTTGGGGCTGGTCTCAAACGACAAAGTGGATGCTTGGCTGGGACACTCCACCCCCACCCTCACCCCCACCTCCCGCCCTCGTGGGTCTCCCCCAAAGCGTGGCCTGGCCCCACTGATTCCCTTATCTGCCCACTCCCAGCTGCCTCCCCGCTGGCTGAACTGTGGCCGCAGACTTCTGGGCCTGTGCCCCTCCACAGGGATGGGGGAGGGAATAGGGTGAGGCCCGGCCTCAGAGCCTTAGAGTTTCTAGCTCTTGATGAAGGCAGGGCTGAGGCCCCCACTCCCCACCCTTCACTTCCCTTCCTTAGCTTTTTCTGGATCCAGTTGTGAAGAAACGGGCCATCAGGCTAGCAGCCAAATCCTTGTGTGAGATGTGCCTCCCGCCTGTCCTTCCCCTGGAGGATGGATTTCCTTACCTCTCCCCCTACCCTGCAACTGCTGTTTCTAACGCTAACATTGAGTTACCTCACAGAGCTCACTGTCTATGGTGTGCCAGGCAGGCCCTGGGTTGAGTGGCCTCTCGACAATACTTGATGGGGATTCTATGATTACGCCCATTTTCCAGGTGAAGGAACTGGGTTCCGAGTGTGGCTTGCCCAGGAATCATGAGCAAATCAGTGTCAGAACTGAGACAAGAACTAGGGCTTCGCCCTGACTGCTTTGGCTCAGTGGATAGAGCGGCAGCCTGCGGACTGAAGGGTCCCAGGTTTGATTCCAGTCAAGGGCATGTACCTTGGTTGTGGGCACATCCCCAGTAGGGGGTGTGCAGAAGGCAGATGTGCAGAAGGCAGCTGATCGATGTTTCTCTCTCATCGGTGTTTCTAACCCTCTATCTCTCTCCCTTCCTCTCTGTGAAAAATCAATATATTAAAAAAAAAAAGAAGAAGAACTTAGGGCTTG